TATAATTAAATATGAGTTTTTTTTTAAGCATGATAATCAAGTTACGAAACCATTAGTCTTAACCTTTCCGTGAAGGGTCATTAACGTTTAACCCTCCAAGGAAAAGCAAGACTGGGGTTGCGTAATCTGACATCTCTGGTTTGTTTAAAGAGCTTGATGTAATATTTTGGGTAAATGTGAGTAGTTATGGCAATCGTAATCTAACATGTTGAACGAGTGAGAGTTCAATAAGAACCATCCCTGAGCTGATACGTTGAGTCGCTTTCTTTTGGATGACAAACCAACACCCTCTTGCTCCTTTAATCTATCAATCGAGCATTAGTACTTCTTACTCAACTTCTACCACCGTTCCTCGCATTCAGTGTATTTCCTAATGTATTCATTTCAGTAGCCTTCTTTATCTTAATTTTACCAGCAGACTTATCATAATCTACAAATTTCTCGTCCGATTTCTGGCCTGCGTAGTCGGTCTCTTCTGACCGCTGGACCCTGCTGCCTTTACACACATTTATTTTGTTCACTCAATCTTTGGCCAATTGGCCAACAAGCCTCACCTACCAAAGATCGACCACAGGATCTCGATTATGGGTCGTATTTCTCCCTAAACATGGCATAATCGAAGAAATAATTAAGGTATCTTTGCAAACTTTTTTTATTCCCCACGTCCTCACCTACAGCCGTTACAACCCTTAAATCCAATGGTTGCTATCCCCTTGCTGATACGTATCATTGACCTCGAGATAACAACCTTAAATTACAACTATAGTTGGAAATAAAGTTGAGAAAAGTGCTAAAATATGTTGGTTTTCTATAAGCATCTCTACCTAACTTAACTTTTTCAATAATCAGAACATACAAAAACAGTACTTCCATTGTGAACCAAATGTCCACTTCATGGTGTTTAAATGAAATCAAGAAACAGTTGAAGCTTTCTTACCGAAAACCCTGAAACGAGGGAGGATGTTTCGTGGACTGCTTTAACCTAAATGGCGTATAAAGCCAAACGGATGCAGGCGTCTTCTGCTGAGATCGACCTACGAATATATGCTTCATGCACTTCCATACAATATTATCGCAGGCGACTCCTAGAAACCCCGTTACTCTGAGTACAAATAGCCAAGATCATGTTCACAAGAGACTGTCAGCTTTAAAGGGATCCAGGAAAGAAATGTCAAAATTGCTGGTCCTTGACTTACCCGACGGTGTTCTCGTCGACTCATCGTGGCTTTCACTCTCCTGAAGGTCGCTTGTTTCGCCCAAGTCGCTGAGGTCGTCTGTTGAATTGGTTGACCCATTGGCACCATCCAATTCTGCATCATCGCCCTCAATTTCAGTCAAATTAATGAACCCCTCCTCTTGGAGTACCTCTTTATCAGCACCTGTCTCCTCTGCTCCAAGCCAGAGCTTTTGGCCAGATACCTCGATTGTTGGAGAAGGGCCGGCTTCGGTATGGCCGCTCAGACAGCCAGTGGGTTTGTCATCACACGATCCCTTCTTATATGCATCGTCAGTACAGTCACTTTCATAGGCCAGAGACTTATTTTCTTCTATCTCTTCTCGTCTATCCGATGGGCGGATCTTTTCTGTGCCTTCCTCGCCGAGACTGTCATGCGACCTGACTACCTTCAAATCTGGAGACGAAATCAAGTCATCTGATACAGGTCGATCAGTGTCATGAAGAGGACATAAAGAATAGGTTTCAGCAAAACTGGTCATGGTTGACGGACTAGAGGAAGTGACTTCCGGACTGTTTTTGATGCTTACTTTTTCTTCTTTGCTGTTGTGCTGGTCAGTCTCTGCCAGAGAGGATAGGCAGGTGAACCCAGATTCTGGGCAATATTCGGGAGTTCTTTCGTAGTCAAGAGGAAGCTTGTTGGCAGCATTCCGTTCCCGTCTCTTTCGCTTGCTTATCACATTCCAACAAGGAAGACTAGAATTATTTTCATTGGAAGCCGTCAGATTCACATCAGCTTCTACTTCCTCCTCTTCCTCTTCTTCCTCCTCCTCTTCATCCTCTTCGTCCTCCTCTTCATCCTCCTCCTCAATAGCTGTCCCAGCCTCCACTTCCTCCCCTTCCTCCTCTTCTTCTTCTTCCTCTTGCTCCTCCTCCTCATCTTCTTCCTCTTCTCCTTCCTCTTCTTCTTCTTCTTCCTCCTCTTCTTCTTCCTCCTCTTCCTCCTCCTCTTCCTCTTCTTCGTCTTCATCTTCTTCTTCTGCATCACCTTTCCTATTCTTACTTTCTATATCAGAAGCTTGACCACTCAACCATTCTCCTCTATTCGACGGCTCATTGATGTCGAGATCTATCTTCATCACTAAGGTCTCACTTTCAATTGCAGCCTCTTTTGCGTCATTCCAATGGTAATTTGCAGTTTGCAACATGTCTTCAGAGGGCTGTATCTCCGAGCTAGATGCACCACCAGCTCTGAGTCCAGTAACTTGTTCCTGATAAATCATGTATATCAATATAAGTACATTGATTTGCTTACAGTTATAAAAACATTGAACCTTTACACGAAAGTATCAAGTTGCGCTAAGGATAAATATTTTCAATAAATATCTTATTCATGACAACTTTTATGTACTTAACGATACGTCATGGATCTATTATCCACCTATGTTTCGAGTCAAGTTAATAAGAGGTTATGAGAACTTTTATCGGCAACTTAGGAGATTCCCTTATGGTCTCCACATAATATAAATAGCCTTTAGCCTGTACCTACCAACACCATTTGTGGTATTAAGTGCAGGTGTATTTAGAGGTTTTTGCATATATTGTCGGATTATCAAAAGCGTGGAAACCGTACGTACTTCAAAGTTATATATTAAAACAGAGTTTTAAGGAATTGCTTTGTGATATGAATTTTCATTTTAACAAAAAGTTTGTTGGGTGGACTTCGTAAAATTGTCTCACCGGTAACCGAAGAAGGATTGCCGCGGAATGAAGACCGTTTCACGAGTTGCATCCAACCAACTTTTCCTTTTAAATGTAAATTCATGTCTTATTGTATTTAACTAAAAATCTTGATGGTGCATGAAAAAGTTTCATACTTTGTAAGAATTCTGAATAATTCAGAATGCTCTGAAAGATTTAAAGAATGGTAGTTTTGCTTATACCCCGTTAAATATTAATTATATATTAGATAGTAAAGGAGGCCTCATAAATCGTGCTACCATTCGAGATGGATAAACGCTCACTTTAGACTACTTTAATGTTCCGCAGACTGAAGTATAATCACCTGACAGTATTTCCTAAAATACTTTATCATTTAAAAGCGAAAGATTCACTTTATTGCAACATAGTTTGTCTGGCCATTGACAAATAACTTGATCCAAGGTGACTAACATTATCATATGAGCTTACTGATAGCCACTAGCTTCCACGTAACAGCCTATTATCAATCCTTTATCACCTTAAACGAAATAGAGTAAGCACATCTCATATATCAATTTGCAGATAGTATCGAAACTCTACTCAATAGCGAATAAATCAAGTAATGCCATCGATTACTATAACAACTATAAGTTTGTAGCATCGACAATCCCACCACAGAATGTGATATGTGAAAATGCATAATCTTCCATTCATTTTACTATTGCCCTGGGATCCAAGGACACTCGTGGCAGTGTGGCGTAGTGATTAACATGTCGATATCACACACTGAATTCTCATAGTTTGAGTACCCATGAGGATGTTGAAAAGATCTCTGTGACGCCGAAACTGCAATGTGAAGACAAGGCTATGTGAAGTTTGATGGAAACGTCAGCTCTACTCATCTCATAGTGGGAAAATTCAACTAAAGACCTTCATCACCTTAAACGAACACATCTCATAGAATATTACCATTTATATA